CTTTTCTTTACTCATTTAACCGTTGTAATACACTCAAGAAAACAAAATGACCGATCAATTACAAGGATTAAATATATTAAAACATAAATAATAATGCATTTAAAATTCTTAAATTCAACGAACATTAACCAAGCCAATTTATCAAACACTTCATCTATTAACATCATTACTTACAAACTGTGGCGGATTAAGACCTTCTGGGTCCCTGGGCATAAAACACTGGTGCCCCTCTATATGATATGACATCATAACGTCTAACTGTAGGCATAGAGCTATGATATTCAATTGTAACTGTGAAATTGCTTTATTTTTTTCAAGAATATCAGGGGCCCCGAGACCTGGGGCCCCTGATATTCTTACTCTATGTAATAGTAAGAATATCATAGTAAGAGTTACGGAACACGGATCTATTGATTAATACATTTAAATTTCAATTAAAATTTACTTATTTAATGGTAAACAGAAAGTATTTTCACGTGTCGAAAGGGCATCAACAGGGCTGGCTCATGCATCGATTTTGTAGGGCCTCGGAAGAACCCGCACTTTTAAATTTCTAAGAAAAAATTTTATTTTCTGAGAATATTTTGGGGCCCCATTAATAACTTTTCCAGAAGCCCCGCAAAATTTCCAGCAGGTCCCTTGGGATCGGAACATAATTAAATACAATTTTTAATGAGATAAATATTGAAAATGTTTTTAAAAAATGCATGCCATAAAATGATATTTCAGTTCTTTAATTAGGATTAGAGAGATTTTCTAAATTACAATAAAATGAATTGGTTTTCTCTTCCATATATATATATATAAGAGAAGAGCTGAATTTACCTTTCGGCTTTATTTAGTAGTCAATGGTCAACATCATCGCATCCGGTTACCAAGGTAACCATCCGTTCAATTCTAATTTCGTCATATCATTTATCACTTCATGATTGGTCGAAACGGAATGCATCGCTGTGATAGGTTAAATTTAAATTTTGAATTCCTGACATAATGACCGTTTTTTTTTTAAGCGGTTCTTAACATCTTTAAACAACCGATAAGTAATTTGATTTCGAAATAAACCAAGTAAATATATAAATAAATAAATAAAAAATTTAGTGTAAATTTTCTTATTTCGATTATCCGTACTAATCGAAAGATTTGACGAACCAGAAAATCGATTTAACGGATGATGGAATGTGATGATTGTAATGGATTCAAGAGGGAATAACGTTTATAATTTAAATAAATTTATATTTATTAATTTATCTTTAAGCTAAATTAATAATTACACACTTATTTAATAAGGCTTCATTTAGATAAGCATGTGTTAGTTCTCCAGAAATATTTATCTTAGGTTAATGTAATGAAATTAAAGTGTAAAATTTATGATTTTAAAAAGAAGAGGGAAAATATATATAGATTTATTTTATAAAATTACATAAAATATGAGAATATTCTCTTAGATAAAAAGAATTATATAATTACTTTCATGATAACACCACAATACGATTGTAGTGTTTGTGCCTAGATTATTATAAATATTGGGCAAAATAACATTTATAAATGAAATTTCTAACGTTATAAAATGCTAGAAGGCATTAAATTTTAATAATGTTTGGCATTAATATAAAAATTTAAGTAAATATTTATCCATTATTTCATACCAAGGCGAGTATCGGTGTAGCGAACTTCACTGTTTAATTTAATAAATAGTTAGCGTAATGCTTCGTTTATGTTTATTTTTAAAACTTATAAATGTTTTTTAATAAAAATATCTACGTTTATAGCAGGGGAAATAAAGAAATCCATTGATTTGTAAGGAATAAAGTCGTTCAATAAAGCAATCAGAATAACAGTAGCGAATGATGCTGAAACCAAAAACATCGATCTGTTGTATGTGATGGAATTTTTTTTTAAAAAAAAAAAAGAACAATTCGAGATAATTTATCAATGCTACTATGGTAACAAAGATTCATTTCAGTAAAAAAAAAACTATAAGACGAATATATATTTATTTTCTTATATTTTATTAGTAAACTATACGCGAAAATCAACGAAACTTTTCAAACTTTATTCCCCTTTTTTTACTGTTATTTTTTTTAACACTTTTTATATTTGTCGTGTTTATGTGCCCAACATGGGAATTTTATCAGAACGTGACAATAATAACAAGTGAAGACTTTATAAGCAATCATCCCATTGCCGTGAGTCTACTAGAAAATTATCCAAACGGAATACTTAAACTTATATTTTATAAACCCTTTCGAATAATACTTTAATATTATTATATATACATATAAGTTAATTTAAACGATATATTAATGCTTTAATATATTTTTTTTAAATTATTTTAACGTTTAAATTTAATTTTCTTCGCCAAAAAAAAAAATTATAAAGAAAAAAAAATCGTTATAGAAAACGACCGTTAGAGGGAAAAAAATCGTTTAATCGGTTTTTAAAATTTCGAATTTCAGCCAATCAAATGAATCATTTTCGTTTTAAATTTATTTTTTGAATTTTTTAAAATTTAATTCGTTTTTTTCTGTAAGTAATTAACGAATTAATCACTCGAGACTCATTTTAATAATTTGCGTTAATTTATACATCGTGGACGGATTTTTTTTTTAGAAAAAATACCTTTAAATTTATATAATCACGTGACATTTTAAAATGGAAAATTAGTAAAAAAAAGAAAACAATTTAATAGAAAAATGTAAAAATTCAATAAATGCCACTTAACATTTTAAAAAATTAACAGTAGAAAAAGTGTTTTTTTTTGTAATTATACGATATTTAAATTATTATTTGGGCGTTTCCTTAATATTCAGGAAAGGGGGCTTCTTGAGATGATCATTACATAAAAGGCATATCATTAATAAATAGAAGGTGACAGACAAGAAGGCACCACTTGTCAGATTAGTAACCTGGCATGCCATAAGTTGTCATTAACGAGAACTAATTTATAGAAAGCAAAGGGGGGAGGAAAAATCAATTCTGATCGAATTTTTAACAAAATAATAATTCTATTTATTGATAAAAATCTAGAATTTTCTTACGGATTTTATTTTCAAAGTACTCGTTCAGGTGGCAGTAAGCCAAATAATATAAGTATTTGACATGTAGATCGAACTGAAAACTTTTTTCTTCTTCTTCTTCCTACGCTTTCACTCTCTTTGGTATTTAACTTAGTTTAAGAAATCAAATTTATTTTAAGAAATACAAAAATAAAATAAAATAAAATAAATTTTTTTTACATAAAGAGATTTCTTAATATTATAATGCTTCCTAAATTGAAAATATTCCTTTAAAAAATACTTTCGTCCACCATAAATATGAAATTGCGTATGTACTGTACATCAGTGGCTCGTTATATAGCTTTATGGGATCCAGGCAATTTTGAATTAGGAGGCCTCCATATACAGTACAGTGTTGACTTCAGACATTTTTTTTCTTCGGGGGAATAAAAGACTGGTTTGATGTCCCTTTGTTAGTGGGGATCTCAATCAATTGCTCTTTTTTTGTCCATAGGATAACGCTCTACTGCGTACAGTAGTAATATAAATTAATCATTTAAAATACATTTATACGTGTATATAAAGTTGCAGGAGGAATGATTTTACAATCGTGTCAAATGTCTATATATTACCAGCCAACCATTTATGCTCTTTATGGCGAGGAATCTGTGGCAATTTACTTAATGGGACGAGACAAGCTGTACAACGTCAAGCAGTCTGGAAATCTAGCGCAACAACTTTTCTTTCCTTCGTGATACAACTATCTAAATTTCTTTCGTATGGTATCCTTTACCGTAAATTACACATTACCATAGATATAAATATGACTGGCATGATATTAATTATCATTAAAAGATATAAGCCAAACTGGAATTTCGTGTAACGTCATCCCTGAGGAGGAAACTGCAACAAGAGCAAAGAAGTTGAAAAAGTCATTTAGATTCGAGAAGTGTTGCGGATTGATAAGGAGGGTTTAGCGCCATTTTTTTTAATATTATATTATTAATTATTAATACCTGTAATATTAATGATTTATTCGCAGAGTTTGTAATCATCGAATAACGGGTTAAATAAACTGATTTTGTTAATTCCCGCTTGACCTAGTTGTAGGAGATCCTAATGTAAATATCCGGAAAGGCAACTTTTAATGGCGAGATTCTCGACTCTACAATTATAGAAAGTGTATAAAATATATAAAAATTATATTTATAATCTCCCCTTCGTAAGATTTTTATGTTCTAATGAAATTTTATACATATCATTTTTTTATGCCGCTATAAATAGGTGAGATTACTTAAAGAGGATGCTGCATAACAGATGGCAAGTATCAATTTTGATATAAATCAGGCGTAAATTAGATAAATCTCAGCTTGAATCTCATTAAATCTTGAATCTTTTAAGTCGAATCTATAAACGGGGTAAGCATAAAACCTTGTTTTAATTAAGCGGTAAATGCTAATCGAGTAAGAATTAAAATGAATGACTGTTATTATAGAATCGATCTAATTATATACATCTTTAAGGTTAAGGTGGATCTAAGTTTTAATATTGTTTAAAGCCATGGAAGCGATATTTATGGTAATGATATTTTAAACATTCACGCTGCGTTATGATGCTAATAAAGGACATAGAAAATGTGAATATATTCTTAATGAGCTTTATCAAAATAGCTTCCATTATGAAGAAAATGTTTAATTTAATTTCATCTTTCTCCCTAAAAAAGTACGATTAAAAAATGATTTTTTTTCTCAAATACCCCGACGTAAAAAAACTATCCGAGCGCTTCGTAAGTATCTTAATACACGTAATGAGTTTAATAAATGGTTTTTTTTTATTTAATAAAAACAAAGATAAACAGATAAAATTCGATACGATATAAGCTAAATATGGCGACAAGATTGGACAATCTTCAGTTGTCAAAAGGTAAAGAAAAAAAAAATTTTTTCCCCCCTCTCTGTAGATATAATAAGATAAGTAATATAAAGTTTGGATGATATTACTTACAGTAGGTTTCTTTGGCTAATTTAGCCACTACTTCCGTCTTCAATTTACTATTTCCTTTACCCATAAGTATCGAGGGGTGGGCTTGGATGAAAGGACACAACCAGCATCACACGCAGACATCGGACGCAGCCTGAACAGTAAGCGCAAAATTCGCTCACTAGGTCTCCCATCCCATCATGCTTAGCGAGAGTATCGACTATTGAGTGCTAGTCAGAATTTTTCAAACGTTTTACTTTTACTGTTAGGTTATAACATGAAGGATGCTACAGCATATGATCAGGATTTTCTCTTTGCTCTTTATTAATCTCTTCTCGTCTTTAATTTATTATCCCCCTCTCCTCCCTCTCTCTCTCTCTCTCTCTCTCTCTCTCCCTCACTTTACTAACTTGAAAATATCCATTATTTTCTTTTTTTTAGAATTTTTCCAACGTTTTACTTTTATTGCTGTTATCGCACGAAAGATATCGAGGGATCTTCTCGCTGCTTTTCTTTTTAATCTCTGACCATGTTTAATTTCTACATCGTTGATTATTGTGTACCAGTCAGAATTTCTTTAAACGTTTTTTTTTTTTTTATCTATATTACTACGTTATCATGTAAAGGATGCTGCAAAACACGATCAGAATTTCCTCTTAATATTTGCTCGTCTCTTGTCTTTCTTCTTTGCATCTTTTCTTCTTTCCTTCTCGAACAGTCAGAATTTTTCAGATATTTTCTCTTACTTCTAACGTTCCTCATTGGAAGGATGTTGCAGAATGTAATCAAGATTGTCTTCGTCTCTAATTTTCCTTAATTTTTGCTTTATTTCTCTCACCTCTTCTTCCTTTCTAAGTTTGACAGTATCGACTGTTGTCTACTAGACAGAATTTTTTCTTTTTTTAACGCTTTACTTTTATTGCTATGTTATCATGTAAAGGATGCTGCAGAACACGATCAGGATCTTCTCTTTACTTTAAATCTTTGCTCATTTTTATTTTCTTTCTTTCTTTTTCTTCTTCTTCTTTCCTTCTAGAACCTGATAAAATCCATTGTATAATCAGTTTGTCTTCAAAAACATTTTACTTCTACTGACAAAATTATCGCATAAAGAATACTGCAGAATATAATCAGGATTTTCTCTTTACTTTTCATCTTTATTCATCTTTTTTCTCCCCTCATCTTCTTTCCATCATTTCTGCTCTCCTTCTCGAACATGAGAGTCAGAATTTTTCAAATATTTCACTTTAAATGCTAAGGTTATCATATGAAAGATGTCACAGAGCGTGATCAGGATTTTTCTCTTTGCTCTCTTAATCTCCGCTCATCTTAAAATTTCTCCTTTTCCCCCCTCTCACTTTCTATTTTTCTCCTCGAACTTGTTACATAACGTGTAATACATTTCGAAGAGTACGAAAAACAAATAATTCTCATTTCCTAATTTTGGTTTTCTTTATCGATTATGCTAATTAAATTAATTTAATTTACTCTAAGATTTTTATATGGCATTACACAATCAAACACAACAAATGGCCGTCGTACGGGGAAGGATTATTTTGTATACTGAGAAGAAATGCTCTGACAAAAAAGAAAATGGCCGCCGCTTACAGGTAGCCATTATTTCAGGTCCCACTGTATTCGGTTTAAACTTATTTTTTTAAAGCGATATTTAAAATTTTAAATAAGATTAAACTGTATGCTTTTTAAATATTACATTTCGTTGCTTAAAAATTATTTTTAAAAATTTTTATAAGTATAAAATTTAATTCAGTATTTTCTCGCTAGGTATTTTTTGTACTGTATTGTTAAAGATTTAAAAAGTAATATCATTTTAGAATATTTATAAATATTTTAAAATAAGCCTATAATACTTTTTTAATATTTACTTTATAATTTAAAATAAAAATTTCGAGACGTCAGAATATTTTATTTTTATTTTTAGTTTTTTGTGTTTTTTTTTCTTTCTTTTTTCCCTTTTACTTGTGGTTTGTCGTCTGGAAACACTTCTACGCCCTCTGCATTTTTTTTTTGTCTTATTTATTTTTATTTTTTATTTTATTGATTTTATTAACAAGTGTGAACAATAAATTTAACCAAATTTAAAATTTTTATCCAAAGTTAACTTTAAAATATTTAAATTTAAACAATTTTTACTATTTTATTTATTTTTGTGATCATTTTTTAAAATCGTGGATTGAATGTTTTAAACTTTCAGAAACGGCTAAAATATGTTATAAGTGGCTTTAAAAATTAAATTTTAATTTTTTTGACGAATTTATTGATAATTAAACAAATAACAAAAATATAGATTTTATTAACAGAAAGTTCAAACTTTCTAACATTACATTATTAAATGTCTGATATTAAAATGCGATGAGTAAAATTTAATAAGTGGTTATTAAATATAGTGAAATAATTCATTACGTAAATATCATAATATTAAAATATTTTAATTTGTAGATATTATTTAGAACCGATTGTATTTAAAAAAACCTCTATTATTTTTATTTTTTATTTTTTTCACTAGAGGCCGTTGTTGAATTATCTATGCGTCATCTAACGGCATTTAAATAGTTAACTCATTAAAACTTGACTATTTATGTTTTTAAAATCTTAAAAATTTGAAATATTTAAAATCGGTGATCAAAACTCGATAAATAATAATAATAATGTATTAAAATTATAAAATATTTAATTAGATTTACGTGTTTTTAGTTACTTGTATCGCCCTCTCGTAAGAAAAATCTTAACTAAATTTTCTGTATAACTGTTTTTTTATTTTATTTAACATAAAATTAATTTAAAAATTTTTTTAAACTAAAATCAAACGTTATTTAATTTTAATAAATAAAAATATAATCCTGAAGTATTTTTAAAATATTTTAAACAGCATTTTTAATGAGTTGGCAACTTGTTTAATATACTCCATTAATTAACAATAAAAGAAGTAAAACAATAAAAAAAATCTTTTTAAATTATAAATACATCTGAAAGAATTTTTTTAATGTTTTTATATTTAATTAGAATATTAATTTATATTTTTTAAACTTTTAATTAATGAAATGTTTTATTTAATTTATTTATTTTTAAAATAATATTTTATTTGTTTACTTTTTAAATGTAATTATTATTATAAATTCATACATTATTATATTATATATTAATATATATCAGGACCCCGATATAAAGACTTCAATCGATTTGTCTGGAGGGTCGATAAATTACTAGAGAAGGGTTGGGAATCGGCGAACGAATTTAATTTTAAATTATTATTTAAACAATAATAATAATATTTAAATTTTCGTAAAATATACCTTATATTTTTAGTTTTTTACTGATTATTATTTTGTTTCGGTACAGAAAGAATTATACAAGAGAAGATGATCGGCAACTTCTATTACGTGTAATATAATACAGTCAGGGCCGGCGAGAGGGGAGAGCTGGGGATTTTTCCCCGGGCCAGGAAGAAATTTAGGGGCCGGTAGTGGTTCCTATCCCTATAAATTAATGTTGTTTTTACTACAAAAAATATTATCTTTAAGACTGCTTTTTATTAATAAAGAAGCATTCTATGTACCGGTATTTCATTCAAAAAAATGGACAAAAGGAGCGTCAAAGATGGCTCTGAATACAGTGTTACTATGGTATAAATTATATATATTAAATACAGTCGAGCTTCCAATGACGGCCATTTTTTTATATTTTTCTCGGTACAGGTTTTACTGTATTTAATGTACAGTATACTGTATAATAAATATTTTATATTTTTAGTTGTTTTACTATTTATTAATCACTATATCTTTAAGAAAAATATATTCGCGTATAAAATGTTTAATAAAAATAAATATTTATACGTTAATTAATATTCAAGTTACCACACAATTATAGCAATATAATGCATCAGCAAACCCCCCTATGTCACAATAGTTAATCAGCAAATCTTTAAACACGTTTAGAAGCTACAGGAGAAAGTAATGATCAAAAATTATTTTTACATTTATAAATTTTAGTTCATCCTGTGATAGACAATTGAGAAATGTATTGACCTATAATCCCGAATAATAGAATTAATAAGAATTTTAATAACTTATAAACGTTTACAGACGACTTTACAGTACAGGTACCTTCGCTGTACGCTCTAATGCGCCTATCTCTGTACATCATTCCATGGTGTTTACGTAGAAAGTAAGTTAATAATATTTTTAAAATGATACGTAAGTTACTTACTTTTCATAGATTTTAACTATAGTTTTATACAATTATTTTTTTAACTTAAAATCTGTAACTTTATGCAGAAGGCCTTCGTATAGGATTATAATTTAATCTTTGATTTTAATGTATGCTAATGATTCATCCTAAGAATCATTTTACGTAAACGTAGATTTAGTATGTGTATTTAGCGCAAAAAATACTTTTGAATTATATTTGGGCCATCTGTTTTTTAACTCTGTCCTGTAGACCTTCTTTTACAAGAGGGCCTGTTTTTTAACAAGCCCATTATGGATTCGGCCAGGCCTACTAGTGCGGTCGGATGGTGAGGGACAATCTGACGTATCCGGATGGAAAACATCCGAAATTTTCCTGTGGTTTGTGACCCGTTGGAATTCGATTCCGGGTCCTCCATAGTGATAGACTGTAACCTTAACTAGTTGGCCATCCGGCCTATTAGGTCATTCATTAATTACGTCTAAAGTTTTTCAGCCACTTTTCACCCCCCCTTCCTATTAACAATAGTATGCTTTTGGCAACCCTTTTTGCAACCTCCTTAATTAATTACGTATGCAATAGTTCATGGGCTTTCTCACATCGAAGAAATGATTTTAAAAAGCTCTGCAAACATTCGTACGACTAGTAAGTAGGCTTGTAAGAACAAATTCGTGTGCCACTAATATGACTGAAGTCCACGTAGATAGTATTTCGACCTCTTCCTTCCCATTGTGTACAATAATGTACTTTTCGAGACCTTTCTCCATTAAACTTGTACACGTAATTAATGGACGTTCACTCTACAAAATAATAATTGAATTACCGAATTCGAAAATTTACGAAAAATCAATTAGTGTGAATAAATTATATTTATTTTCTAATTAAATAACTTTAGAGGGAAACTTAACAGTGTTAAACTATTTGAATAAGTGGCATAAATCTATTATTGAAAATACATTTCGAGATGAACAGTACATGTACGCTATACGGTCGATTAACACGATGATAATATAAATTTTTAAATAATTGACATGTACATGTACACTAATATAATTTTGTATCAGAATCAATAAAATACCTTTTATACAGTGTCGTGGGTTCAGATCAGGATCATCGATAAGGAAATTTTTCCCGAAAGAAAAGGGTTCATATCTCTATAAATTAATGTTATTTTTACTAACAGATTTTAAGGCTGCTTTTTATTAATAAAGGAATATTCTATGTATTTTATTTTTAAAAAATGGCAAAAAAGTTTCACTCTACAAGCTCTCGAGCTGTATCAGACAATGGAGTTGCCTAACATCTGGCCAAACCTCTATTTTAATATAAAAATATAGTTTTTATGCTTCATTATAAACAGAATTATTTTATTATATTTTCTTTTCAGATGGATATTAACAGCATCAATGAAACTCTTCAAGAGATTATTTCAAATGTAACTTCTGATATAGGATCGGATATCAATCAATTATTTGAAATCTCTTATGGTTTTATCATACCAACCATAGTATCATTCGGTATAATCAGCAATATCCTAAACATAATCACATTAAGTAAGCCATCTTTGAATAAGACTCCATACATGTTTATCAAAGCAAGATCTGTCTCCGATTTACTACTACTCTTAACAATTATACCATTCACAATACAGAATTTAACACCAGACGAAGAATGGAATAATTATTACATTGTTTTCTACTTTGCAAAATTACAATTGCTCTTTGTAAACTCCCTAGTGGGCATCAGTTCTCTATACGTCACAGCATTGACCATAGAAAGATACATCTCAATCTGTGAGCCATTGAAAGTCCTTCAGGAAAACAATAAAAAGCGAATTTTAATTGTTATTATTCTTATTCCTGTATTTACTGTACTCTTCCACGTTCCTTATACACTTAATTTTTATATACAATATGATTATAATTCTTCTAATGTAACGTTGTATTACTTTCGTGATGATGATAATACCAGAAATGCCACCTTCTATCAACTGTACCTCTTAGTGTTGCAGTCTTTATTTCGAATTGGTCCGACATTGCTGATAGCAACTCTAAATCTAAAAATTGTTGTTGAATATAGAAAAATATTAAATAAAAGGCTTAAATTGAGTAAAACGAATTCTTCGGATCGACTTAAAGAAGAGGAAAGGCGTTTGATGTTTTTACTTTGTGGGATGTCTCTTATGTTCTTCATATGTAATACACCAGCTGCCATTTTGGTCGTTATTACGAGAGACAGTTTACAGAAGGATTATGATTTTCAAGTATTTAGAACTATTGCAAATCTTCTAGAAATTAGTAATGGTTCTTTGTCATTTGTTACTTATTTAGCATCTTCTAGAGATTTCAGAAGAGCTGCATTTGATTTGANAAAGTACAGTAGAACCTCGATTATCCAGACTAATTGGGGATGAAAGTAGTCCGGATAAGGAAAAATCCAGATAATCAAAACAAATACTTTAATTTGTCTTTTAATAATAATACAACACATTTTCTTTTCGATGACATATCGGTAATATTAAAAATAAATACTGTATTTAAATCATGATCAAATTTTCAAGAAACAAATGTTTTATTGAATTTGGACTACTACTGACCAGCACTAACAGACTACCTATTGTTTAAAAGGCCCTCTGGTGGCTCAAGAAGACGGATTTTATAAAATAAAAAGCAGTCAAAACTGCATTTTTATGAATAAAAATTTGACAAACTATTTATCGTTTTATGACGAGTAAAATTTTTTTGTCACGTTCTCGGTTTTTAAATAATGCATAAACCTTCGAGGCGCGAGGCCCTTCGGACCACCAGGCATAGGTGGTGGCCCACGTTGCCCATGCCTTATGCCGCCCTTGGTTATAGAAATGATGTAATTTGAGTATAAATTATTTATAAATATGTATGTCAAGTTATATTTTTATTACGACGCAAAATATATTTAAGAGTTTACAACCACCGTGCCGAGTGAGACGTTGTTGAAACAAAAAATGTTATGCATTCCATCACGTACATAAACAGTGTCGTAATTCGCCAAGTGCAAATCAGCAAATTCATAAAATTTTTGTTTATTTTGAACAATCTGGATAATCGAAAATCCGGATAATAGAGGTCCGGATAATCGAGGTTCTACTGTACTTCCAGTTATCACGGTACTTCCGTGATACGTAAGAAATACATGTATAATTGTTAAAATAATAATCACTTGATATATACTACTGTTATTACAATTGTGTAACGATGTTTATTAAAAAACATTTTTTTTATTTTTTGAAATCTCAAATTTTATAAATTTTTTTAAACATAATTACAATTTCAAATCATATTTTTAACAAAAAAAATAATATTAATTTTTAACCACTAGAGGACGCCACTTGATTTTCTATTTAAAAAAATAACAATTTTAAGCTATATAGAATGATGATAATATATTCAATAATAAAATTCCATTATTAATTTAAAAGTGACAAACGAAATTTTCTTCGAATAAAGCTTAAAATTTTCATATATAATTTTGAAAAACGTCATTTCATAAATATGACGTTGTATGAAACATTAACAACATCCAATAGAATAGTCGATAACATCGCGTGATAGTAAACTCTTGTGGCAGGTATATATAAAAAAAACGATTATAATTAAATTATCTTGATTTTAATATTGTTATTTAATAATATCATAAAAATTATTTATTAATTGAACGTATACTTATTATTTATTTTGACATCAATTCCGTTAAAGTAATGTATAGCCGATATTATACATAAAATGCCATGTAATTGGTTAGAAAATAATGACGTCATTTAATAAACGAAATTATTAAATTTTCTACAAGCAAATAAAAATTTATTATAAGTTTTATTTTTTATTTAAAATACTTTTTAAATAATAATACACATATATATAAACAAATTTTATATTTTTAATGCAAACAAAAAATATTAAACATCCATTAAAAGTGTATAAAAAACGAAACTAAAAAAATGTTTCAAGTACGAAATAACGCTATTTATTACTAAATTTATTTTTTAAATTTTATTTTTGATGTATAAAACACTTTTAGAAACTTATCGAATAATTTTAAGTAACTTTAAAATAAAAAAATTTAATGTCAAAATTTATAAATTAAAAAAAATAATTCAGATGGCGCTACGAACTTTCCGAGTTCGGAACGGTGCTATATAATTAAAGTCTACATTTTTACGTAAATTTGACGTCATTCTTTGGAAGTTTTCATTATAAAAATGGCATAATGACGTCAAATTGACGTAAAAACGTGCACTATACCAACAATACGTTATTACGTTGCTGCTACATCATAACGCTACTTTATTTTAGAAAATAATAAGTATTTAAAACATATTTTGTACTAAATTAAGATTCTTCATGAAGTTCACTCCACAATTTTACAAATTTTACTTCTTAAATTTCCAAGTTTTCTCAACATATTTTGATACTTATCACTTAAAAAATCTCACAACAACTTTTTTATTTAAAAAAAATAATACAACTTGATACCCTGTTATAATTCAATACATCTAACAGCACTACATATTATTGCCATTTTTTTTTTTGCCATGAGGATACCAATATTTTTTTTGCCATAAAAAAAATAAGAAAAATATATATAAATCTCTTGAAAAAAAAATATATATTATATCAAGTATTTAATGTTTCAAGTATCAGGTTTGTCAGTTTTTATGTCAAACCCTTCAATTATAATCATCAATGGTTTACTCATATGTATAATTTGCTAAACTATCACAATTTATTCTTTTATTATACCATTATGAGTACTTAATTCACTAAATTAATATTATTCAATATTGTTTTCTATGTAATAAAGTTATAAATGATTCATTTTTTATATTTTTCTCCATGATAAATCATCAATAATATGGAGAAAAATGTAGAAATGTGTCAATTTTATTACATAGAAAATTTTATGGAATAATTAATTAATTTTGTTGCAAAATAAACATTAATTTCTCTCTCTCTTTTCCCTCTTCTCTCAATTATTTTAACAGTTTAATCCCCAACAATTAAGAGAAGGGAAAATATATATATAATAAAAACAATAATATGGATTTAAATGCTATAATTAATTACAAAATATAACTATATAACTTATATATAATACTTTAAATATGACAAATTACCTTATGATAAAATGGAGATATTAATTTGTTTATTGTTTTAATTTAATTAAAAATTGTAACAATAACAATTACACTTTGAATAATTTCACATTTAATTGTAATTAGCTATAAAATTACAGTGAAAAATATAGAAATTATTCATTAATTTAATTAATATATTATAAAATATTAATAATAATAATAAACAATTGTATATACAATCTCCAGTTTTAACAGAACAATTACACAAGTTATAACCTAATGTTATTATATTTTTAAATTTAATCACCTTAATAAAACAATATTAAATACAATTTACAGTCGTCATCAACAATAAATTGTTTTCATTATTAAATAGTAAAACAATGTATATATATTAAGATAATTGAATTTATAACTATTATAATATACATAAAATTTTTTTTCTTTAAAAAGGGGACATTTTCCTTTCGTCACTTCCTTATCAAATTTATTAAGGATCGGAATCCAAGTTTCCTCATTAGTAAACTCATAATTACCCTCTTATCCTTGGTTTTTTTAATGGAATAATAAAAAAATATATATATATAAATGAGTTTAAATTATTATTATTTTTTTAATATTATTTTCTGTAAAAATAAAACGTGTTTTAATACGATCCACCCCACAAATGAGTTATTTTTCTTAACGGAAATAACCGTAATACGAAACAGATATTCACTTTCTTTTAACTTTCTCCTTCTTTAAAGACGTTGGAAATGAGTTATCATATTTCCTTTTTTGAGTTAGTAGTTTTTCGCCCTTTTTTATTAGTACGCCTACTTACGGTACTCCTAATTACAGTGTCACACCCTGAAATCAACTCGGAGGTGGGTACGTATGTTACGTTACATCACCGCACTTAAAACACTAAAAAAACATCTCTTTTATGCCAATTTTTTTTTTAGTGGGATTCGTGCCCTGACGCCTCTGCAAAGTGTACCTAAGATGGTAGGATTTAGCGCTTACACTTTTTTTTTTTTTGTTTATTTAATCCTGTTTTAGGAATGCAAAGTTCGTGTTCGGTGTATGGGAGTGTTACCTCTATTGTACCGCGTTTTTTAAATTTCCACCCCCTTTTTTTATAGTTATACGTAGTACTATTGTTAAAGTTACTGTATACAGTTATTATATTCGTTAAAGTTTCTAAGGAATTGTGTACAAGTTAGTTTGTATTACAGTTTCACTTCCTAATTATACTCGCGAACATAAATTACGAAGCAACTTCTCTTTACGTCGGCGTACTTGTTATTATTTTTTTTGCGCTGTATTTTTTTCTAAATTTTATGATATTTTACGGATTACGTTTCTAAATTTACAGCTTAATTTTTCCTTATATTATACTGTACAATTGCGTGTAGAAAATCTGTAATAAAGTTCTTCTAAAATATTTAAATTTTATTTCTATTTTTTTTAATTATAATTCTAACTTAAAACTACATTAAATTAGAACATCGCATGACATGATTTACATCATTTTGCGCTACTTTACGGCTCTATACTCTATAACAAACTACAGTCGACCCCCCCTATAACACTGTTGATTATTCCGTTTTATATGAATTCCATGTTGTACGAGTCACTTAGATTTTACAAATACGCGAGCCATTCACAGCCCGGCACACGTATTTGTAAAATTTAAGTGACTCGTACAACATGGAATTCATATAAAACGGAATTATGAACAGTGTTATAGGGGGTCGACTGTATTCCATTATAATGCGGTATAATATATTACACAGCTCTATTTCTATTACAGTAAATATACAAGTAAACATTCATATTTACTGTATTTATTCTTTAATAATCTCATTCGTGGATCCGTTAACGTAAAAATTCTTTTATTTTTTCACGAATTAAACTAGCTTAATCCCCCCTAAAGTCTATCAGTTAAATGTATAAGGATCTTAAACTTTGATCCCGATCTGATGTCTGTAACGAACAATAGACTGTGTCATTAAATTCCAATATATCTTACGCCGTTTATAATTACTCTCTCCTCATTCTGATTGACCCATTATCGCGATAAATACTGATGTGAACGTGAATATATCGATCGTATACGAGATTTAGGTATCGTATTTTTCTTCCATGCTCTCATGCCTGATGTATGCAGATACTTCTAAGTTCCGTATCGATTTTATTATTTAAAAAAACAAAAATACAACATTGAATGCCGTAAAACCGCGGCTCCATTTCTAATTTTTCTCTAGATTTTTTTTCTCTCTTAAATACTCTCATCTATTGATAGATGATAGCATTTCCTCTTGAGCTTCTCATATATAATTAATCAAGTTAGTGATATTGTTTTTCCTTAAACTGACAAATCGATTGTTTTGAACAGGAATTGAATTTGTTAAACTACTTTTATACATATATAAGTTATAAAATATTTTATTAATTTATGTAAACAAATACAAATACTTGTTTACCTTCTCTCAATTTTAATTTTAATCAATTCTTTATCATGATTTTAATCATTTTCTACAGCTTAAAACATTAAAAATCTTATATGTGATAATTTAATTAAGATTTACATTCACAAAAGTTTCAAATAAAACACTTAAACTACTTCAAAATATTTATTAAATTAAAAATAATAAAGATTTTATATAATAAATGGAATAAACAGGCAAAAAATGATTTAAATGATTCATTTTGTAACTTTAAAATATCAAGGATTTGCCAGTTCTTAACATTAAAACCAATTGGATGTAACAAAATAATGGACATTATCAATTAAAAGATAGAAAGGTGCTTTAAAATATGGTTAAATATTCAAAATAAATCATTTAAAAAGCTAATTAATTGCTTTAAAAATGACTATTTTTTTTAAAATTATAATTATAAGTTGCNAACAATAATAATAATATTTAAATTTTCGTAAAATATACCTTATATTTTTAGTTTTTTACTGATTATTATTTTGTTTCGGTACAGAAAGAATTATACAAGAGAAGATGATCGGCAACTTCTATTACGTGTAATATAATACAGTCAGGGCCGGCGAGAGGGGAGAGCTGGGGATTTTTCCCCGGGCCAGGAAGAAATTTAGGGGCCGGTAGTGGTTCCTATCCCTATAAATTAATGTTGTTTTTACTACAAAAAATATTATCTTTAAGACTGCTTTTTATTAATAAAGAAGCATTCTATGTACCGGTATTTCATTCAAAAAAATGGACAAAAGGAGCGTCAAAGATGGCTCTGAATACAGTGTTACTATGGTATAAATTATATATATTAAATACAGTCGAGCTTCCAATGACGGCCATTTTTTTATATTTTTCTCGGTACAGGTTTTACTGTATTTAATGTACAGTATACTGTATAATAAATATTTTATATTTTTAGTTGTTTTACTATTTATTAATCACTATATCTTTAAGAAAAATATATTCGCGTATAAAATGTTTAATAAAAATAAATATTTATACGTTAATTAATATTCAAGTTACCACACAATTATAGCAATATAATGCATCAGCAAACCCCCCTATGTCACAATAGTTAATCAGCAAATCTTTAAACACGTTTAGAAGCTACAGGAGAAAGTAATGATCAAAAATTATTTTTACATTTATAAATTTTAGTTCATCCTGTGATAGACAATTGAGAAATGTATTGACCTATAATCCCGAATAATAGAATTAATAAGAATTTTAATAACTTATAAACGTTTACAGACGACTTTACAGTACAGGTACCTTCGCTGTACGCTCTAATGCGCCTATCTCTGTACATCATTCCATGGTGTTTACGTAGAAAGTAAGTTAATAATATTTTTAAAATGATACGTAAGTTACTTACTTTTCATAGATTTTAACTATAGTTTTATACAATTATTTTTTTAACTTAAAATCTGTAACTTTATGCAGAAGGCCTTCGTATAGGATTATAATTTAATCTTTGATTTTAATGTATGCTAATGATTCATCCTAAGAATCATTTTACGTAAACGTAGATTTAGTATGTGTATTTAGCGCAAAAAATACTTTTGAATTATATTTGGGCCATCTGTTTTTTAACTCTGTCCTGTAGACCTTCTTTTACAAGAGGGCCTGTTTTTTAACAAGCCCATTATGGATTCGGCCAGGCCTACTAGTGCGGTCGGATGGTGAGGGACAATCTGACGTATCCGGATGGAAAACATCCGAAATTTTCCTGTGGTTTGTGACCCGTTGGAATTCGATTCCGGGTCCTCCATAGTGATAGACTGTAACCTTAACTAGTTGGCCATCCGGCCTATTAGGTCATTCATTAATTACGTCTAAAGTTTTTCAGCCACTTTTCACCCCCCCTTCCTATTAACAATAGTATGCTTTTGGCAACCCTTTTTGCAACCTCCTTAATTAATTACGTATGCAATAGTTCATGGGCTTTCTCACATCGAAGAAATGATTTTAAAAAGCTCTGCAAACATTCGTACGACTAGTAAGTAGGCTTGTAAGAACAAATTCGTGTGCCACTAATATGACTGAAGTCCACGTAGATAGTATTTCGACCTCTTCCTTCCCATTGTGTACAATAATGTACTTTTCGAGACCTTTCTCCATTAAACTTGTACACGTAATTAATGGACGTTCACTCTACAAAATAATAATTGAATTACCGAATTCGAAAATTTACGAAAAATCAATTAGTGTGAATAAATTATATTTATTTTCTAATTAAATAACTTTAGAGGGAAACTTAACAGTGTTAAACTATTTGAATAAGTGGCATAAATCTATTATTGAAAATACATTTCGAGATGAACAGTACATGTACGCTATACGGTCGATTAACACGATGATAATATAAATTTTTAAATAATTGACATGTACATGTACACTAATATAATTTTGTATCAGAATCAATAAAATACCTTTTATACAGTGTCGTGGGTTCAGATCAGGATCATCGATAAGGAAATTTTTCCCGAAAGAAAAGGGTTCATATCTCTATAAATTAATGTTATTTTTACTAACAGATTTTAAGGCTGCTTTTTATTAATAAAGGAATATTCTATGTATTTTATTTTTAAAAAATGGCAAAAAAGTTTCACTCTACAAGCTCTCGAGCTGTATCAGACAATGGAGTTGCCTAACATCTGGCCAAACCTCTATTTTAATATAAAAATATAGTTTTTATGCTTCATTATAAACAGAATTATTTTATTATATTTTCTTTTCAGATGGATATTAACAGCATCAATGAAACTCTTCAAGAGATTATTTCAAATGTAACTTCTGATATAGGATCGGATATCAATCAATTATTTGAAATCTCTTATGGTTTTATCATACCAACCATAGTATCATTCGGTATAATCAGCAATATCCTAAACATAATCACATTAAGTAAGCCATCTTTGAATAAGACTCCATACATGTTTATCAAAGCAAGATCTGTCTCCGATTTACTACTACTCTTAACAATTATACCATTCACAATACAGAATTTAACACCAGACGAAGAATGGAATAATTATTACATTGTTTTCTACTTTGCAAAATTACAATTGCTCTTTGTAAACTCCCTAGTGGGCATCAGTTCTCTATACGTCACAGCATTGACCATAGAAAGATACATCTCAATCTGTGAGCCATTGAAAGTCCTTCAGGAAAACAATAAAAAGCGAATTTTAATTGTTATTATTCTTATTCCTGTATTTACTGTACTCTTCCACGTTCCTTATACACTTAATTTTTATATACAATATGATTATAATTCTTCTAATGTAACGTTGTATTACTTTCGTGATGATGATAATACCAGAAATGCCACCTTCTATCAACTGTACCTCTTAGTGTTGCAGTCTTTATTTCGAATTGGTCCGACATTGCTGATAGCAACTCTAAATCTAAAAATTGTTGTTGAATATAGAAAAATATTAAATAAAAGGCTTAAATTGAGTAAAACGAATTCTTCGGATCGACTTAAAGAAGAGGAAAGGCGTTTGATGTTTTTACTTTGTGGGATGTCTCTTATGTTCTTCATATGTAATACACCAGCTGCCATTTTGGTCGTTATTACGAGAGACAGTTTACAGAAGGATTATGATTTTCAAGTATTTAGAACTATTGCAAATCTTCTAGAAATTAGTAATGGTTCTTTGTCATTTGTTACTTATTTAGCATCTTCTAGAGATTTCAGAAGAGCTGCATTTGATTTGAAGTTCCATTCTTGTAACAGAGTCAGTAATGTGAGTTGATACTAATGCGGAACACAGAAATGCAATTAAAATTTTCAAATGAAATACTAATTTCAAAGAAGAAATAATGTAAATTTGTCTTATTGATGGCGCCATATTTGCATTTTGGAGATTCATTCTCGTAGCGGAATCATCAATACCAGTTGATACTTGGTCTATTACAGAAAAAGGAACTGCAATTAAAATGCCCAGTAAAATTTTAATTGAAAAGAAAGAATAATGCAAAATGTCGATGAAAATCTGCCTCGATGATGACACCCCGTATTGTATGGGATCGTGCATAAATTATGTAACGCTATTTTTCAATTATCATCCAACACTGTAAGTTTCCATAACACTGTTGCATATGATATTCTGTTACCCAAGGATCCAGATCTTAGCATTATGTAACGTTTTTGTAAACAATCCCACGCGTGTGACGCATCTTATCGATAATTTTTGTATAATATATTCCGCTTATTGTAATCATGGTTCGGTTATTGTTACCGTTGTCTTCGGGCAAGTAGGTCTTTTTATGCTTTATTTTCGTGTTACCAGCCTCAACATGTGGCTGATAACATAAAACGGTTATAAGATACTTAATTAGTGCTTTATTTGTAATTTGCTGGCAATCCAATAGTTTAATTGTTGGCAATGTTCTGGCTGTTGTTGAAGTTGTAGCAGGTATACAATATTGGATCAATTATTTATTATAACTTATATCTTCAAGTTATACATTTTTAAATTGTTTCGACATGTCAATGGAACCACATTTTCCTTTTAAGGATGAATGGCCGAGTAGTTATTGTTTTAGCTTACCGCGCGGGAGGTTCTCAGATTGATTCAAACTGTCTGTCTCGGACATGTCGGGCCCGTCTCTCACCATTGTGAATCATGCCGATCCAGCAATAAGCTTGAAAAAAGACCCTTTTATTGCCCAAATGGCAGAGTTAAAAAAATAAATAAATAAAACAGAATTTCCTCTAATTGTAATTTTATTTATTCATTCACGCAGTGTTAGTGGGCCTTTTTAATCACACTTATCGTGCGAATTCGTCTAGACCCACAATTGAGTTTATGGGTGGTGAGAAAAGGAGCCCGAAATATTCAGAATAGACCACTCAAAAACAATTTCTAAAGGTTTTTAAATGCCTGGATTCTATTCTGGATCCCCAGAAGCGGTTAACCGCTTCGGCCATCCGAGCCGCATAATGTTATCGCTTTAGGCGTGTCCCAAAGTGATTACAATAAGCGGATACTACAATTTTTAATAATTTAAATTAATGTTAAGGTATTTTAATTTCGTTTTAAGCATATTAAATTGTAATTTCAAATAAAACAAGTTTCTGAAATGAATTTTCTTTGAAAATTCTGTTATTATTTTATTTTCGTTATAAAGTTTTAAAATTTAATACCGTATATCTTTTAAAACATTTCTTATTAATCTAAAATTTAAAAAAACAAAATAAAATATTAAAATTTTATAAATTTTTTTAAACATAATTACAATTTCAAATCATATTTTTAACAAAAAAAATAATATTAATTTTTACCCACTAGAGGACGCCACTTGATTTTCTATTTAAAAAAATAACAATTTTAAGCTATATAGAATGATGATAATATATTCAATAATAAAATTCCATTATTAATTTAAAAGTGACAAACGAAATTTTCTTCGAATAAAGCTTAAAATTTTCATATATAATTTTGAAAAACGTCATTTCATAAATATGACGTTGTATGAAACATTAACAACATCCAATAGAATAGTCGATAACATCGCGTGATAGTAAACTCTTGTGGCAGGTATATATAAAAAAAACGATTATAATTAAATTATCTTGATTTTAATATTGTTATTTAATAATATCATAAAAATTATTTATTAATTGAACGTATACTTATTATTTATTTTGACATCAATTCCGTTAAAGTAATGTATAGCCGATATTATACATAAAATGCCATGTAATTGGTTAGAAAATAATGACGTCATTTAATAAACGAAATTATTAAATTTTCTACAAGCAAATAAAAATTTATTATAAGTTTTATTTTTTATTTAAAATACTTTTTAAATAATAATACACATATATATAAACAAATTTTATATTTTTAATGCAAACAAAAAATATTAAACATCCATTAAAAGTGTATAAAAAACGAAACTAAAAAAATGTTTCAAGTACGAAATAACGCTATTTATTACTAAATTTATTTTTTAAATTTTATTTTTGATGTATAAAACACTTTTAGAAACTTATCGAATAATTTTAAGTAACTTTAAAATAAAAAAATTTAATGTCAAAATTTATAAATTAAAAAAAATAATTCAGATGGCGCTACGAACTTTCCGAGTTCGGAACGGTGCTATATAATTAAAGTCTACATTTTTACGTAAATTTGACGTCATTCTTTGGAAGTTTTCATTATAAAAATGGCATAATGACGTCAAATTGACGTAAAAACGTGCACTATACCAACAATACGTTATTACGTTGCTGCTACATCATAACGCTACTTTATTTTAGAAAATAATAAGTATTTAAAACATATTTTGTACTAAATTAAGATTCTTCATGAAGTTCACTCCACAATTTTACAAATTTTACTTCTTAAATTTCCAAGTTTTCTCAACATATTTTGATACTTATCACTTAAAAAATCTCACAACAACTTTTTTATTTAAAAAAAATAATACAACTTGATACCCTGTTATAATTCAATACATCTAACAGCACTACATATTATTGCCATTTTTTTTTTTGCCATGAGGATACCAATATTTTTTTTGCCATAAAAAAAATAAGAAAAATATATATAAATCTCTTGAAAAAAAAATATATATTATATCAAGTATTTAATGTTTCAAGTATCAGGTTTGTCAGTTTTTATGTCAAACCCTTCAATTATAATCATCAATGGTTTACTCATATGTATAATTTGCTAAACTATCACAATTTATTCTTTTATTATACCATTATGAGTACTTAATTCACTAAATTAATATTATTCAATATTGTTTTCTATGTAATAAAGTTATAAATGATTCATTTTTTATATTTTTCTCCATGATAAATCATCAATAATATGGAGAAAAATGTAGAAATGTGTCAATTTTATTACATAGAAAATTTTATGGAATAATTAATTAATTTTGTTGCAAAATAAACATTAATTTCTCTCTCTCTTTTCCCTCTTCTCTCAATTATTTTAACAGTTTAATCCCCAACAATTAAGAGAAGGGAATATATATATATAATAAAAACAATAATATGGATTTAAATGCTATAATTAATTACAAAATATAACTATATAACTTATATATAATACTTTAAATATGACAAATTACCTTATGATAAAATGGAGATATTAATTTGTTTATTGTTTTAATTTAATTAAAAATTGTAACAATAACAATTACACTTTGAATAATTTCACATTTAATTGTAATTAGCTATAAAATTACAGTGAAAAATATAGAAATTATTCATTAATTTAATTAATATATTATAAAATATTAATAATAATAATAAACAATTGTATATACAATCTCCAGTTTTAACAGAACAATTACACAAGTTATAACCTAATGTTATTATATTTTTAAATTTAATCACCTTAATAAAACAATATTAAATACAATTTACAGTCGTCATCAACAATAAATTGTTTTCATTATTAAATAGTAAAACAATGTATATATATTAAGATAATTGAATTTATAACTATTATAATATACATAAAATTTTTTTTCTTTAAAAAGGGGACATTTTCCTTTCGTCACTTCCTTATCAAATTTATTAAGGATCGGAATCCAAGTTTCCTCATTAGTAAACTCATAATTACCCTCTTATCCTTGGTTTTTTTAATGGAATAATAAAAAAATATATATATATAAATGAGTTTAAATTATTATTATTTTTTTAATATTATTTTCTGTAAAAATAAAACGTGTTTTAATACGATCCACCCCACAAATGAGTTATTTTTCTTAACGGAAATAACCGTAATACGAAACAGATATTCACTTTCTTTTAACTTTCTCCTTCTTTAAAGACGTTGGAAATTAGTTATCATATTTCCTTTTTTGAGTTAGTAGTTTTTCGCCCTTTTTTATTAGTACGCCTACTTACGGTACTCCTAATTACAGTGTCACACCCTGAAATCAACTCGGAGGTGGGTACGTATGTTACGTTACATCACCGCACTTAAAACACTAAAAAAACATCTCTTTTATGCCAATTTTTTTTTTAGTGGGATTCGTGCCCTGACGCCTCTGCAAAGTGTACCTAAGATGGTAGGATTTAGCGCTTACACTTTTTTTTTTGTTTATTTAATCCTGTTTTAGGAATGCAAAGTTCGTGTTCGGTGTATGGGAGTGTTACCTCTATTGTACCGCGTTTTTTAAATTTCCACCCCCTTTTTTTATAGTTATACGTAGTACTATTGTTAAAGTTACTGTATACAGTTATTATATTCGTTAAAGTTTCTAAGGAATTGTGTACAAGTTAGTTTGTATTACAGTTTCACTTCCTAATTATACTCGCGAACATAAATTACGAAGCAACTTCTCTTTACGTCGGCGTACTTGTTATTATTTTTTTTGCGCTGTATTTTTTTCTAAATTTTATGATATTTTACGGATTACGTTTCTAAATTNTTCTTATTTTTTACATAAATTCAAAAAAATATATAAAAAAATTATTTTTATTTTCATTATATTCAAGAATATTTTATAAAAATTTATAGAATAATATTCTTGAAGAAATTTAAAATATAAAAATTGTTATATTAATAAATCTAATTTTAGTTGTAGTGCATGTAAAATATTCATATAAATCTATCTGATGGGTTGGGCAACTGCACTTAGCAGCTTGCCCGGATGCAAAGTACCATCAGGGCCCCCTATCTACTGATTTTTTTGTGTTCCACAATACACAATTATCCTGCTGCTGCTGCTGCTGTTGAGCCACTTAAGTAACGTTATATACAGGCTATAAAAAATGTTTTTTTTTTTTTTTAAATTAAAAATAATGATAATTTACGTCTAAAAATATATTTAAACAATTCTTTATTTTGTTTATTAATATATTAAATTAAAATTATTCTTACTATTTTTATATGTCAACGTGGAAATAAATCTTTAACGTAATACAGTCGACCCTCGCTTTACGACGGGTGTACATTTTATATTGTTAAATGTATTAAATGTCGTATTTAAGTGTTATATCATTTTCGTTTGTATCTCGATGTGATATTATATAATTCGAAGTTAATTTTTACGAAGGGAACTTCGTTTTATTACGTTAAATTCGTGGGAAGAAAATAGGGTTCGCTTTACGACGAGTTTTTCTTTTTCAAAATACAAGCTAGAATTTATTATTAAATTTGTCAAATTATACAAATTTAAACTGTGTAATAATATAAAAATATAATAAAAATAATTTAAATTAACTTTTTTACATATTAATACGCCTAAATTGTATTAAGAACAGAACCTCAATAAGTCTGCAGGAATTTAAACCTCGATTTACGACGGTTCCCCAAAAAATAAAGTGAATAAACAGTGAAAATTTATTTATTTAAATTGTATTAAAGTCTAAAAAATATAAAAAATAAATATTAAATTTCTAATTTTTGTAATAAAAATGCTTATAAAATATAAATAAAAATATTTCTTTTTAAAATAAATACAAAAATAACCTCTAAACAACGTCCCGTTTTACGTTCCCATCAGTTGGCCGCTGATTGATCGATCGATCGATCGATCAATCAATCTTTACCAAATAATCTTTACTGATCGATCGATCGATCAGTAAAGATCGGTTGACGGTTCGACTGTGTAATGCAATAATATTATTTAATAATAATTTTAAATTAAATAACAGCCAAAATTACAATTTTTGACAGTCAAATAATTTTAAAAAAAAGGTTTGTTTTCGTAACAAGACACCCTCAATGACTCCAAAATATAAAAAAAAAAATTCCTGTGTTTTTACATCCAAAAACATCTGCAAACTATTAGATTTTCGTACGAAAAACCTAAGGGACTGACTGCAACATTTGAAGCATATTTGAGAGAAAATTACAGGAAACTGTTACAAAAAATACAGGAAACTGATAAGAGAGGGGGGAAAATATATATATATAATATATATATATATAAGGAAAATGACACCAATAATTTATTANAGTACAGTAGAACCTCG